GGTTCAACCTTGGAAGCAGAGAGGAGAAAACGTATCAGGTCCAGGTTTCAAGGGAGTCAGAGATTCAGACAGGCAGGTTGGCTCAGGCTTGCTAACCATAACTGGCAAACACTCTGGCACTGGAGAGACGTCCTCTGCCTCCTTATATACTGGTCTCCTGATGAGCAAACAAGCGACAGGTGGAACAATCAGCTCCGGCTCCAGGAGATCTAATACGCCCTATGGTGGAGAAAGTGGACAGACCTCCAGATCCCAACAAAAAAAAAAGAAACAGATATATCTGTATTCAAATGCAACATTATGCAGCAAGTGTTTGCCCTGATTGTGTTTACTTGCCCTTTCTGAGCCTCTAAAGATTTTTAGCACTGAGCATCTTTAGCAGATGTATTATAGTCACCAGCCACTTTACAGTAGCAGCCATTCAAAATGGCCCATCCCAGTCACATGCCATTCAAATGGAAGCCCACTTCCCTGTAACTCCCAGCAAAATCCCCTCCAACTTAGAGCAACTGAAGCGACCCTGTCCTTCTCCTGGGTTTGCATATTTTTCTACTCTAACTCCACCCTTTCACCAAATTACAGGGTCTGACCAGGAGAAAGCATTTCTCTTTAGATCTTAACGTCCACAAATCATGACAGAAAAACTATTTTTGTGCAAAGATTGATGTTTAAAAAGGAATTGTAGGGGATCAGCCAAGGACTAGCCAACGGCCCATTCAAGGAAAGTAGGGAAATTTTAAATGGCTAGTACTGTATGAGATAGACCTTGCTAGTAAGGGGTTTTGACCCCCTTTTGCCTTCAGGACTGCTTCTATCCTTTGTTAGAAGGATTGAAAAAGCTCCTGGAAACATTGCTCAGGAAGTTAGGTTCCTATTGACGTGAAAGAGTCAGGCAGATGCTCCACATTTTGTCGGCTTTATGATACAAAATCCCCCATTCCCCCAAATCACAAAGGTGCTCTATTGGATTCAGCTATGGTCACTGTTGAGGCCATTTGAGTCTGATAAACTTATTGTCATGTACAAAAAACAGACGGAAATTATTCAGACTTTATGCTATCAGTCTGAAAGTAGGCATCAGAAGATGAGTGCAGTGTAGTCAAAAGGTATGGACATGGTCAGCGAAAATACTGATTTAGGCTGTGTGGCATTGACAATGATGCTTATTTGGTACTAAGGGGCTCAAATTATGCCAAGGAATTATCACCATTACACCAACCCCACCGGTCTAAAACATTGCTTTGATGCTTTCATGTTGCTAACACAAAATTCTGAAACTACCATCTGAAGGCGCAGCTGAAATTGACAATCATCAGACCACTCAACATTTATTTCCAAATTTCCATTTTCTAATTGGCCAGTGCAAACGCAGCCTCAGTTTCCTTTTGTTTAACTGAAAGGAGAGGTACCTGCTGTGGTCTTCTGCCACTGTAGCCATTCCGCCTTAAGGTTCAATGTGTTATACGTTCAGAGATGCTCTTCTGCATGCCTCAATTGTAACATGTGGTTATTTGAGTGACTGTTACCTTTCTTTGTGCTTGGAGATGCTGCCATGTGACTGGCTGATTAGAAATGTGTTTTAATAAGCAGTTGGACAGGTGTACCTAATAAAGTGGCCAGTGAGTGTATATTTGTGTACCATCTGCCAGCACTGCCAGACCGATTGGAAAGATGTTTTTTCCTCTTAGTAAATGACTTGAAAGGAATGTTTTGCAATCAAACATTTTATATTTATCTGATATAGGAATTAGTTTAATGCCCTGGAATCAGAAAATTTTTAAATAACAGAACACTTTGGATTATAACATCCAAAGAGATTATCTAAAATGAAAGATTATACACCGACTAGAATGCTGAGTAATGTAAGAACTAGTATCTGAAGGTACATGGGGAAGCTCCTAGACATCTACTGTTCAAGTTTTTCAATTGACAGTATTTATTTCTTCTACTGGACAGGTGGTCCGTATATTAAAAGAGCTGAAGGAAAAGCATCCAGATAAAGACCTGGACCAGTTGATCGAGATGGCTAACTACTCTGCCCTTGTTCACCAGAAGAAGAGTCGTGCCTTTTACCGCGTCCAAGCAACACGAATGATGATCGGTGCTGGAAACATCTTAAAGAAGCATGCAGCAGATCAAAAAATACGCTCTCAAGAACAAGACCAAGACAGAGCAAACTGCTCAAATATCTGTTTTGAGAATGTGCTATACCAATGCACAGAAAACTGTGGCTCAGTTAGCCTGTGGGTGGTCCTTGATGGAGGCACAGGCCAGAACACATTCTATGTGGATTACTGTACAGAAAACGGGTCTGCCAATGCTGGATCAGATTATGAATTTAACAAGGGGACCCTTGTATTTAAACCAGGTGAAACTCGAAAAGAGATCAAGGTAAGACAATTACTTAAATGGTAATGGTTTGTGTGTTTCCATCTTGTTCACTAATGATTTTACCTCTTATTTTAAGACTTAGAGCAGTCATGTGTTACACAAGTCGTATTGTCCTGATACTTTCAGAAATGTCCCTGCTCAGCACACATTAAAATAATTAGATCTTTGCCAACACTCTAGAGCTGCACAATGAGGATGTAATTCAAAAACTGGATTCACATCCGCTATGACAAGAACACATAAAAGCCTGGAAGCCAAGCATGCATGTAAGCCATGAATGAGCAACTGAAGTTTTTCATTCATGGCTTACACTCATTCTTAAAAACTTTCTTTCAAGTCAAATATTGCTTCTTTTACCAGGTCATTATTAAAATATCTG